GATTAAAAATATCCCTGATATAAACATTGATTAGGAGCCTTTTTTTTAACTCAACTAATTGGACAAAACATGGTAACTAACACTATGAATGACTAATGTAATATAAGTATCCAGCAGGTGCTGATGAAACAAAGGATGCTCTGTTCCTCTATAGATATAATTAGTGTTCATTACAGCCATTTAGAAGATTATACATCTTTATTTCTCAGCTTTCATTGGCTGAGGGTTGAGTGGATAATCCCACTTTCCATAAAGAGCCATAACAAAGCGAGGAGGTTAGTTAGGGTCACCTGTGGCAGATGTAATTTATTGCCCCAGCCAGTTGCTCCTCTAATGGCATCTGCACAGAGATGGGGGTAATTCTCAGGTTCGCAGCCATGCCAGTCAATGACAACGCGGACACTTGCGGGCACTCTCGCTCTTGTGTCGGCTCCTTCCCCTGGGGGGGAAACTGTCAACTCCACTTCAGCGAATGAACTTAACATGAAGAGAGAGAGAAAGAGAGGCTGGCTTAACGATGCCGACTGCATCTCTTTCCGCCTACACTTGGAGAAAAAAAGGAGCGCATCTTGCAGGGAGCAGGGAGTAGCCAGGAGGAAATAAATCGATACAGCTGGCAGTGGTTGTCCTCCTGCCCTTTTGATGCTTCTGCGCAAACGGAGGCACTTTGCAGTCCTGGACTCACACTTAAACACTCTGTTTTTCACCTTTAGACTTAACAAAACACATGGGAGTCTGGTGGTCTGGTGAAGGCCACAGAAACGCTTCACTGTGGAAGGTTTGTTATATGGGTAATGTGGCTCACTGCCCAGGGCGCTGTCCTATCAAGGGGATATAAGCAAAGGTTTAAAAGCACAATTTGAGATTTATTTTATTAGGAAAAACTAATGTTTGGAATTCTGTTTTCTTGTAAATTGTATTCTAAATCTTCTTATATAACCTTTTAATATATGTACAGAAGCTAAATGACCAAAGAATGAGAGAGGCTTTAAAGGGGAACACCGTTTTTTTTTACATTTGGGCCTTGATTTTATATTATTACATCATGTTCTACTCATCCATATTAGTTTTGTGTCATTTGGAGCTGTTTTAAAGATATTCGGTTTTGTAATCCAAGTAACGTCTTCCTATGGGCAACGAGTAAAAGGCACAAACTAAACGGTTAATAATTTATTCTGTATGGTACGCCACCATTCATAACATGTAGGCGAATCACTGTCCCCCAGACATCCGAAGTTATATATTTTATATTTATATTTTTTTAAAACAAAGCGGCGCGTGTATGACGTCATCCACGCGCCGGCTACCATTCATTCATCTGTCCGCTGAACTGCTGCTAGTTTTACTCCCATGCCTCTCGAAATGGAATTGAACGATTCAGATTAGCTCGCCAAATGAATAGAAGGGTAGAGCGTAGCCGGCTGTGGCCCGGGCTGCCTGTCACAACACCAGTCCGGAGTGCGGATGATGTCATACACACTCCGCTTTGTTAAAAAAAAAAAAGATATAATAAATATAACGTTATGAATGCTGGCGTACCATACAGAATAAATTATGAACAGTTTAGTTTGTGCCTTCAACTCGTTGCCCATAAGAAGATGTTACTTGGATATATCCTAACCAAATATCTTCAGAACAGCTCCAAATGACACAAAACTAATATGGGTGAGTAGAACATGATGTAATAACGTAAAATCAAGGGGCCAATGTAAAAAAAAAACTGTGTTCCCCTTTAAGCAATTTTTATTTTTCTCACTCGCTTTGAATTGAAAACTTTTTTTTTGGTAATTCCCCATAACAGTTTTTTTGTTTTCAAATCTAATTGTCCAGCAGGTTTGGTACGATAAAAATAAAATAATGCAACTGTTTTTGGTATCTACTCATATTTAGTTTCTCTAACACAATTATTTTATGTCCTACCATGCCAACATGAACATGTTGTGTAATATGATTAAATAGATGCCAAAAACAGTAGCATTCTTTTTTTTTTTTATCAGTGTAAGATGGGGAATCAGTTCCATTTTGGCTTTAACACTCTGATTGCACTAATTTTGAAAAAAATGCAAAAAAAAGAAAATCTGTTCTCGTCTACTGGGCGATACGAAAGGTTTTGATTTTCATAATATAACAAGAAAACTTGGGGCTTAAAAATACTAGAAGCCCAGGAATATGAGATTTGTTATGCAAATACATTGAAAAACATAATGCATAATTTTCTTGCATCTACTTGAGCATATTTACTTACATTAACACAATTGTTTCATGTCCTAACCTGCTAATTTCCTGTTGATATTGTGTTAAAGTAACTGAATATGCTTAAGTAGAAGTAAGAATAGGATGCATTACATTTTGTTGCAACATTAGGTCCAGAATGAGCTTCAGACATGAAAGCAGGTTCTCAAAAGTATTATGAGCACTGCAAATAAAGTGAAACAATAATGTTTCTCTATTGTCTCAACCTGTTAAAGAGATGCAAAGCAAGCAAAAATGTAGAGTTTTATTATCTGCAGTGACACTACCTTTTAGGCCACGAGAAAAGGCTGCTTAAAAACAATTACTTCAATAAAAACTTATAAATCCTTATTACTTTTTTAATGTGCTAATTTACAAAGATTATGATTGTCAAGACATGTCCTTTGATCTGATTAGATAAATAAAATGTAAGAGTTGGGCTATTACTGTTGCTACATTTAAAGAAAAAGCAGTGAAGTTCACTGGCCTGAAAACATCAATTAATTAAGTAAAGGTGGGATCATCTTATGGTTTGATTATTTTGCTGCAGCGGTTCTAAATATACTGATAAACACATATTTATAAATCACAAAAAGTTAATATCTTTAGAGAAGAACAATCGTGGTAACTTAAAGCAGAAAAAAATCTGTCTTAATTAAGAAGATAATTGTGTTTTTATTGTGCTTGTAAAAATCTAGTTTCAGCTGAATATATTCAGTATGGGATTGGCTGAGGAAAAATGATCTCACCCTGGGTTTCCTTAATGCAAGAACCACCACTGGTCATCAGTTATTAAAACTGACAGCAATAGAAAAAGGAGCGCAGCCTGAAAGAAGAATGTCTGAGACTGTGTGAGACTATCCTGATATATCTCTAAATCTGGCAGATCTTTTTTAAAGACGCTTGAGGTTGGTCAGGATCGAGGCCAGCAACCACAAGGTCAGTTAAAATTCCACAGTAGTGCATTAAGAGATCCATCTGGCAGGGCTCACAAAATTCATGGCACTGTGGGAATGTGGTGGGAAAACTAGAGACAAATTGTTCAGTAAATTAACTCGAAAAAAAGAAACAAAGCAGATAAAAAAAACAACAAGCATCAGATGCCCGGAAATGTCCTCAGAAATCCTCCCTTGGGAACATGTCATAGGAATTCATTGTAAATGACATGGAAGCATGTGAGGTTTCCTCGGTTTGTACTGCGAACACAAACATTTTCACAAGATGAACTGCCTCAGGAAAACTTTGGAAACATCAGGAGCACCGGCACTTTAAAAGATATCCCTTAGGACCATGCACTTTATTCAACATTCATATTTACAATTCAATACATTTAAACCGCTCTTTTTAATAAGACAGAGAAGATACAAAAGATCCAGACACTACTGTTGAAATGTCAGATTTCTATCATGTAAAAGAAAGTACATCACAGTGGATAATCTGAACTTTTGCAGCCTGGTTCAAACTGCTTGCATATCGATTATGGAATGGTGCACATCTTTAGCCCAATACTTTGTTAAAGCCAACTTCTTTTTTTTTTTCAGCCTTATGTCTCTCAGCATGGTGCCTCCTGCCTTTATGTCTGATTGTTACGGGTCACTCTTGTGCACGCCTCTGTTGAGATTACCCCAAGGATTTTTATTTATTTATTTATTTATTTGGTCTATGGGTAATTTTAAAGTTTTTTTCTTTTTCTTTTCTTTTCATGAAGCCTTTCTTCTGTTGATGTGGATGTTTGATTTGGGTTTTCTATGCTCTAAAATATTTCTGATGACTGGATATTCGTGCAAACATTCAGTAGTAGTGATGCTACTGATTTAATGCTTCATGTGAATTTTGTGATCTTTTAATGATGTTTCATGTTGTTTTTGCTTTGAACTTCGTTTATAAAGTTGATTTAATTGGGCTCTAACACATTTTCCACAGGTTTTTTGGGGGAGTTTAACATATTTTTTGTTTATTTAGCCTGGGTGGCATTTTTTCTTTATCTAAAATTGCTTTCTTATAGATATATGATTAATAAAATACAGAAGATTGCTGTCAGTTGTACCACACAGACAGTATTGGTAACACAAAACAAAGGACTGGTTTTCCTCTCATTATTTATTGATTTTTGGAAGGATATCCAGTCCTTAGTAATGTTATTGATTTAGTTTAATGTCCTTAGTTGAGGGCTGAGCAGTGGAGCAGTGGGTAGCACTGCTGCCTTGCTGCAAGAAGGTTCTGGGTTCTAGTCCCGGTCTTTCTGCAAGGAGTTTGCATGTTCTCCCTGTGCATACTCGGGTTCTCTCCAGGTACTCCAGCTTTCTTCCACAGTCCAAAAACATGACACGCCTTCTCTAAAATTCTCCTTAGGTGTGATTGTGTGTGTGAATGGTTGTTTTTCTATGTGTTGTCCTGCGACAGACTAGCAACCTGTCCAGGGTTTACCCAGCCTCTTGTCCGTAGACAGCTAGACACCAGTACCCCTCATGACCCACAAACAACAATGAAAAACATTGTGAAAAAGCTAATTAGAAAGATGGTTCTATTGTATTGAATCCGATATAAAACGAGTTGACTGTAGGGGTAAAGTCTGATGACGGATACAAAGAAATAAGAGGATGTGCACAAATTTTTATTTTCTATTTTTCCCCTCTCAAAGATGACAGTTTGTTCCTTTAAGATTACTGGTACATGTTATGTGTATCATTAAATGTGAAAATCTCCTGAAATTATTCATTTTATTCTGACTTTTACATCTGAAAACCTGACATTTTAACAGGGGTGTGTACATTTTTCATTCCTGCTGTACATGTAAACATTTGGGAATGCTTGAAATAGCTCATCTAAATCACCTTAGCAATTTTGGTTCCCTTTGATTCAACAGAATTGACAGAAAACTTCTTCTTTTTGCCCTCTTGGCTGATTTATATCTGGTAAAGCAAAAAGTAAAAGTACGATATCAAAGTTGAGGTAAATCTCAGTTTCAAAGCAGCAGCAGCGTCAAATAAAACGTAGCATGAATGATACTTCAGGTTATACAGGATCTCCTTTTTCTGACAGGGATAGCTGGTGGATTTTAATAATTGGAAGGTCTCCAACAACACGAGGTTCCTGTGTAGGAGGCTCAGGACTGAGAACGCAGCAACAGGTTCGCCGGAGGCTTTTGTTGCACAGTTTGGCCACCTTGGCCCTGCTGCTATCGGCCGGGCCTTCCCCGCTGCCGATGGGGCCCACAGAGAAGACTTTCCATTCCCTGCTGTCCCTGGAGGAAGGAGTTCTAGACAGAGCTACGGATGAAGAGGGGCTTAGTCTGCAGGGACCCCCCCTGCTGTCGAGGCTCAGAGCAAGACCCTGGTTGTGACCTTGGGTTTGACTTTGGCTTGTACTCAGATGGTGGTGGTGCGGTCTGGGAGTCATCCTCAAACAGTGAATTCCAAGTAAACTCTGAAAAGCCTTTTTGAACTCCTGATTGGAGCATGGGTAGATGATAGGGTTGATGCAGCTGTTGAAGTAGCCAAGCCAGAAGGTGATCTTGAAAACTGTTTCAGATGGTCTGTGTGCAGGGAATATGGAACCTGCAGTGAAAAGGGACACACATCTTAGAAGGAAGAAACAACTAAGATGCACAGAATAATCAGTTGTGATCAGCTGTGTACAGAAAAATATGCTCTATAAAAAATGGACTGACAGTTGCCTTCTCCTTGGGAAGCTTTTCACTTTAAGTTAGCAGAATACATCATCAATAAGACTAAAGAAGGACAGTAGATATAAGAGTGGAGTACGACTTAGAAAATAGCAGGAAGCTGAAGATATCATATCAAAGTAGCTCTCTTCTATCCTAGACACTGTCTTTTGTTTTGAGCATCCTGATTTTTGTAACTTGTTGAGCTACAGTGAGTGGCACTAGAGAAAACAGCAAGAAAGTGCCTGAAAGCATATTTATAGAAAATCATAGTCATTATAAAAATTTGAAATATATCTATATAGATAGCTCAGTTCAGTTCAGTAACTCCTGCTACCAATTGTTAAATAAAGCAACATCTAAAACAACAACTTCCATCCAAATTCTTTCCATAAATCTGATTAACAAGGCATAATGCTGAAATACTGTCTTAACCTTTTTTTGTAAAATCCTGTTTAATTGTAGAGCGTTGTAACACTGATTGCTCTCCTTTACACACAGTGGGGTGTTGCACCTGTTCCTATTATGAAATTAAGAAAAAAGACTGTTCAAGCCTCCTTTGCCCTTAAATATAGAATATCAGTGAGCTAGAATCTGTCTAAGGAGTAAATAAAATGTCTTTACATGGAGCTTTAGATATATCTCTGTCCTGCAGGATTTGATTGCATATGAATGTTTTCAGTGATTTAGAGACAAAAAGAGGAGCTATTTTGGATGGATTTTTGATAAAAACACAGTTTGAGTCTCTGTAGACACCCCTGCAGCATGTCACTGTTTGTGCCCTTTTTCATCTTTCAGACTTGAATCTACTATTCCCATTATTTATTTATTTATTTTTTCTTTCCCATAGAAAGTAGCGGTACCCCTGGATCAGGGCTTCTGTGTTATTTTCCTGTGCATGCTCCATCTGTTCAGCCCCCAGTGGCAGAGAGCTAATCACACCTTTAAAAGGGAGTTTTCCCTTTTCACTGTCAGATTGATGCATGCTGGGTATGAGGGACTGCTGCAACTTCAACGTCACAATGCAAGCGACCATCCACATGCTCCTTGATGTAGAATGAATTCTGCAAGTCAATTAATGGATGCTATCAATGGGGTTTCCTCTGATAACATTTTGATCCACATGGTTTGATTGGGTTTAATTCTGTAAAATGCTTCAAGATTTAATTTCAATTCAGTTTATTTATATAGCGCCAATTGACAACACATGTAATCTCAAGGCACTTTACAGTTCAACCAGATCATACAGTCAAATTGATTCAAGTCTAAGGAAAACCAGTTGATTGCATCGACTGATTGACTCAAATACAATCCCTCACACTAAGCATGCTTGTAGCAACAGTGGAGAGGAAAAACTCCCTTTTAACAGGAAGAAACCTCCAGCAGAACCAGGCTCAGTGTGAGTGGCCATCTGCCGAGGCCGACTGGGGTTCAAGGAGACAAGATGAAATGTGTTGCCAACTGGAGCTTTATTAACAAACTGAACTAAATTGAAACAGAAGTAATATTGTACAGAAATATATAGGCACTCAGCAAATCCTCACAACCAGCTGGATTTATGGTTTGAGAGAAACATTTAGTCCATCATTCCACAAGTATTTGTAAAAGTGATAAACTTTCCAATATTACCCAGAGACATGTTGTAAGCTTATTTTCATTATTTTGGGTTAAAACTTGGATAGGTTTCCATTTTTAGTGTCTCTCCAGGGTTAAATTTCATACACGTAATCTACGGCTACGGATACGCTGGTTTCTTTTTCAACATTAAAGTTAATGACATGGCTTTTTAGTTCATAAAACTTCCACTGAATATAACCTCCCGACTCACCATTTGATGCAGCGTTTTAATAGAATTGCAGTAATAGACTGTGCTTTCCTTGATTAGAGGAAGCTCTCCCGAATGTGAGTGGGATCCTTAATGAAGAAGCATATGTAATGGCTTAACGGATGTATTATATGCAGGTCTGCTTGTCTTTGTATATGTAAGGTGACGTGCTGCGTTTTTGAAGCATCTGAATAATTCAAACTGTCTGCCGACCTCACATATATTTGTCAGGTTGAAAAAATTAAATGCAAACCGTTGCTGGTTGTAAAAATGTGAGCCCTGTTTATAGGATGGTGATGTAATCAGAGATATATGTAAGAAAGGAGGATAGTCTGAGAGCAAATGATTTTCTATCTCTGTCTCCAGCTTTAGCAGAGAACAATTCGATCATTGTCTGTATCCCTGATAGATTTTTTTTCCCCCTTTAAAAATAGAGGGGGTGTAACAGCTGTTTGATAAATGTATTGTTGGTCAAAATCAAAAAGGGGATTTGCAGCTCTGTAATTTAGTATTTCTGAAACCTTCAATCAAACAACATGTTTTGACAGAAGCTGTTGCATAACAATGGCTTGTTTTGCTACGGGCTTGTTTGTTGTATCTATTGAGATTTTGATAATGCAGCCGCCAAAATATGAACTCTTTGAAAGATAAAATAATGCAAAGCATCAGTGGGATTGTTTTGCAACAAAAACAAGAGCAGTGGGAAAATGTAACACAATGAATGCAACCTTCAGTGCCACAAAAACAGAGATCTAGTCAATTATTATTGTTCTTTTAGACAGAATAAGCAGTATTTTGGTTACTGTAGGATCACATTTCACATAGGACCTTATAATGTTATAGTTGTACATACTGACTTCCTGTTGGGTTGACAAACATTGAGGAAGAATAACTTAGTATTGCACTTTTTGCTAACCAAGCAACCATTATTTCATCACTACAGTTAAAAAAACTATTTTTACAGAAGCAGCTGTTATTCACACGGTATGATGCAACCTCTTCTAATATAATTATTGAATATCCTGCACCACAACAAATTTTGCTTTTGTTAAACTTTGCAATAGCTCTTAAAAAGGAATCAGTAACAGAATTTCAACCTTTTCAGCGGCTGGAAATTAACTTAGAGTATAGTATTTCTGAAACCTTCAATCAAACAACATGTTTTGACATAAGCTGTTGCATAACAATGGCTTGTTTTGCCACGGGCTTGTTTGTTGTATCTATTGCGATTTTGATAATTCAAATTTATGGACACTAACTTTAGTTTTTTATAATCCAATTGATCTGGTTGTACATCTTTACCAAGTTCTTAGGCTGGGGAGCCGAAGTCAAAGCATGAAGTGCAATAGGCTTAAAATTATTCACACCCCTTGAAGATTTAGACTTAAAGTAATCTGAAACAACATTAACAATTTAGGGCAGACAAAACTGTTAAGTCTTTGGAGGGAAATATTGATTAAGGTGGTAGTGAGAAGGCAGTCCAGCCTAAAAGGCTGGAATCTCATCAGCAAAAGATAAATCCTCTAAACTCCAGCTGAAAAATAAAGAAAATGACGTAAATTGTTTATCTGAACAAATCTATTTTTGACCTTTTTTTTTTTTTACAAAACCAATTCTGCCCGAACAATATTCTTGCTTTATTTTTTAAGATGTAGGTAAAATTTCTTATGAAAGATATAATCTAGTTAAATTAAAATTATTCTAAGGTGTATTTAAAACAGCAGGTGGGATTAATTGCTTGTAAAAAAGTAACTGTTTCTTGACATTTCTGATGTCTGATCCGATTATCTTTTTTTATTCAAACATTTACAAACATTTTGCCTTATGTACAGTTTATCTAATTAGAACGACACAGCACATCTTTTAATCTTCTTATCATCTGGCTGAATAATCTAACCCAAATTATTTCTTCTATTTCTAACTGATTTCTACAGGGAATTACAATTGTTTTCCCAAAACCAATTACCAAACATTCACATATTTACTGGAACTTTAAGCTGACACAGATGTTTGGTCAGACAGGAATAAAATATTTCTATTTTTATCGCAGTTTCAGGAACTACAAAAAAAAAACAAAAAACAAAAAGTAAAACAGATTAGTGTGTCCCTCCATTCATCTTTCAGTTTCTGTACTTTAGCCCCAGGCTTATTGGTTTAGATGTTCTTTTAGGAACAAGGAAATTGTTTCATCTCACTGTGTCAGACAAATCAGTCAAGTTTTTAGGCTGGGCAGATCTAAAGGTCGCATTCAAAGGTCTGAACCCAGGCAATCAGTTTTATTGCATGTTGGTGAATTTCATCTAGATGGAAAGATGAGCAATTCAAGGGGCTGGGATTTTAGTGGATAGTCGTAATGATTGATGCTACCCTCAGCTGGGCAGTTAGTGCAACTATCTGTATCGAGGGTATTGAAATGATGACTTAAGGAGTTTTTCTCATATTGAATCTGTCGTGAGTCGTGGATCATAAAACCTGAAGCCGTCAACAAAAAAGTTATGTGTGAATTAGCAACATTTCCATCATTTGGAAGGAAAGTGGAAGGAAAATAAACATTTCCTATTTTTCCTACAGAAAAAATATCTATATAGCTCAGTGTGCTTCTCTATACACCCTCCTTTGTCGCTTGTTTGGATGTGTGTCATTTGCTGCAACTACAACACTCTTAAATTACCTCTTTTCTAACATCTTGCATCTGGAAACATGTGATTAGGAAAGGTATTTATAATCAGATTTATGAATTTCATTTTTTTAGATCTCCATTTAGAAACAGGATCTAAAAATACATTTTTAAATTCCAGTATTTAATAATGGATTAATAATTACAATTTACAATTCCTTTAATAATCAAGTCAGAATGCATTTATGCATTCTCAATTATTGTGATTTCTGTTTCTCTTTATTATTACTTTAATAATTAAACTTAAAATGCATAATTAGATAATGCTTTTCTAATTGGATTTCAGATTGCCTGATTTAAATGTTAAATTTGAAATGGCTAGTTTTCTTTTTCAGTGACCCTCCATAATTAAAATGCAGAAAACGTAAAGAAAAATAATAAGCTGCCATGCATTCAATTCATTGCAAGAGTTCCCTTGTTTTGTTTTTGTCAGCATCACCTGTTGATGAACCTGTCACATTCCTGAACCCTTTCTCACTGCAGACCTCCTGGAAGAGAAAATATCGTACTTTAAGACTCCTATCATCAGCCCGGAAACCTTCTCATGCCTCTACAGTGCAAACTAATACTATCCATCTAGTGTTATATTGAAATCTGGCCGTTGCTGGGATCCAAACATCCCAGTCTGCTGCAGAGTCACCTGTTAACCTCTGATTTATCCAAGGAACCCTGCCCTTGTCAGTCAGGAACAAGGAGCTGAAGAGCTGGACTCCTGTCCTGTTTGCCGACTGGGAGCCTGAGAACCAGTGAGAAAGTGATGTTTCCATGGAGATGAGGTTGGAGTATGTTGTGCTTCTCCGCTGATCTGGAACTGGCTAAAAACGATGTGAGAACTTCAAACCTTTTCATCCTCTTTCCTCCTTAGATCAGATAAAGATAGAACTGGCATAGAGTCAGAGATCTTTTCATTAAAGATTTTGTGAAAATCTAACAACATAAATCACCATTAAGTTTGGAACACTGAATAATAAATCACCTAAAAGCCCATGTATTATTTTACATCCGCTTCCATCAGTAGAACTAGATTTTAATGTCTAACTAATCTGTCATTTAGTAATTGCCGCTTGTGTTTTATTATTTATATTATTCGGCCCCAACCACTGAATAGGTGTAAATACATACTTTGATCAAAAATAAATTCACACTTTATGTTTGCTGCTCACCAAGATTTGATCCTCATTCTTTGATTTCTGAAACTAAATCAAAATCCTGGTCTTTTTAAATGTCTGTTAATTGATTGTTTTCTGAGAAGGTCAGGAATTCATGTCAGACTCATAGATATATTGTTGAGTTAATTATTGAATACATGTCAACTATTGACTAATTAATTGTGTAGTAGCATATGATGCTAATATAATTAACATAATCCAAAAACGTTTTATTTTGGGCTTTTTCCACATTTTTCCACAATTTTTATGCCTTCCTTTTAGCAAAGGTTCCTTCATGACTAAACGTTTCCTGTCAACAGATTCTCCCACATGAGTTATCGATCCTCTATATCTACCATGGGCCCTTTTGCTCCATTTCTCATTATTGCTCAACTTGTTTGTTGTTTTGCGATACTCTATTTTTGGATGATGGATCAAACACTTAAGATGGTCACAGCTTTGGATGTTGTCTTAAAAGGATGATACAGCTTTAAGTTTCCTCCTAACTTTATCCCAGACTTTTCCGCTGTGTTCAGTGGTCCTCGTGATGCTGTTCATTAACTAATGTTGTCTAACGATCCCTGGAGGCCTTCACAGAACGGCTGCATTTATCCTGAGATTAAGTTGAACTCTACTAATTGGGTGACATAAGAGAGCCTTGAGTCACAGTGGAGTTTATTTAGGGGTATCAAAGTAGACAGGACAATAACACAACATAGCTCTCAATTTTTAATCTTTATTTAAACATTTTCTTACCCAATAATATGCTTTTCTTCTGGTGAATCACATTAAATATAATGAAAATACATTGGAGTTTGAGGCTGTAATGTGACAGAATGTGGAAGTGTGCAAAAGGGTGTGGATACTTTTTTTGGGACGAGTTGTTTTACGCAAAAGTTTTTGTTTTGTCACATAGTTGTTAAAACCCATAATGGAGGATCTCGCAGAGAAAGAGCACCGACACAAGATTCATTAAAGGCACTGTGGCTAAAAATAGAAATGAGAAAAACCAGTGAGACGTTATAGACGCAGTTTAGAAGACTGCAGACACACAAAACAACATTAAATTATTCCACTGACAGGATCTATTTTCTTGTACTGCCAGCAAATAAAGCTCTTATTTTAATTAACTATAGTTAGCACTGTTCAATAACACAGCAAAGGTACTTCTTAAATGTCAAGGGGAGAGAAGGACAATCCACAAATAAATTTGAGGCCTACAGTAACAACTTGTCTTTTTTAGGATCTCAATTGTTATCCGAGTCCCAGACCCTTTTTTCTTTCCTCTCATGACACAGAAATGTCACTCAATCATAGGCAGTCCAGCTCCATGTCAAAACAGGCTTCTGCTTGGTGACTCATTGCTAAATCCATCATCGTCGGCGGACATATGTTGCCTGTGGTATGAGAAGTGACACTGGTGTCAGCGTGTAGCATTTTTGCTTGAGCGGGGGGACTTTTATACTCGTTTATCGGTCTGAAAGTACGCAACCAAATGGTCGTCTATATTTACAAGCATGAGACCATGGAACAAAAAAAAAAAAAAACTTCCAGGATTCGTCAAGGTTCATATCAGCTTGCTTTAAATTTCCGTCTCACATTATTGACATCTGCACGCCAGCGCATTGTTCGCATGCGGATGGAAAACTGGGAGATTTATTGCCATGCATGCTAGTCTTGTCATACAAGGCTCCAGTGCGATAGCCTTATCTGTCAGCGATGGGATTGGCCCTGAATAAGGTGAGTCACAAAGATACAGGGACAGAAGATGCTGGAGCAGAGAGAGTCTCACATCTCAGACAAAGGTCTGCTTTTTTAAACGTACGTTGGTCAGAAATTCCCGGAGCTTGCTTACAGATGGTAAGGACAAGAGGACGTCAGAGATATGAAAGATTTATATAGGCTATTTATAGGCTGTCTACCCTTACATTTACAAGTGTGCACTGCTCTAAAGCTACAAGGCTTGTCTGAATTCTTATAACTCCAGTCTGAAGCCACGAAGGAGTAATTCAATTAAAATGGTCTGACGATTAAATCGGAGAGCACTTTAAACCCTGGCAGCAGAATAAATCAATGAGTAACATCTGTCCAATTAATTAATTCAGAAGGTAAATGGTTGTTCCAATGTGGACTCAGATGCATCTAAAGGTGTGATTGGAAGAGAGCTACATGGAGGCTGATGTTTGTTAGTATCTAAACGTTGATATTTCAAGACATCCTTCCACCTCAAACAGGAGGACACAGCTTATAGTCGTCCCTCCTTACTCAGAAAAGGTCAAGCTAATCATCAAGGTGTTTTGAAACTTTTATCTTTAAGGACCTGTGAGCATCAAGATATAATGGATATTATATCTTATGGATATAAGATGCTAGCCTGATGATATTTCAAGGAACACTGGTCCTCAAGGGCAAAGATAAGCCTGAAACAAAATGATGCTATTAAAGCAGATGAGATAGATCTAACATGTGATGCAAGGACTCTCAAACACAGTGCCGAGGTTAAGAGGTTGTGTAACAGGGGCGGGTGCTTACATAAGCTGTAGATGCAGCATAAGATCATTTTTTTAGTTTCATATCTATATATAAATGATTAAAAAATAAAGCACGTTTCTAAATAAAAATCTGATCTGATCTTTGTTTGCATTCTCTCCCAAATGGTAGAAATCTTGCCAACATTGCATCCAAGGTATATATATATGAAAAATACTCACCAATTGGTAATACCAGGAAGAACGGCAGCCAACACAACACAAAGCAGCCGACCACAATGCCCAGCGTCTTAGCGGCTTTCTTCTCACGTGAAAACTTTAATAACCTCAAGGCAAAATGAGTGCGGCTGCGCAGCGACTCCTCCTCTAGTGCGGTGGTGTTTCCACGGTGGATCCTGAGAATCACCTGCTCCGAGTCCGACTTCTCTGTCTTCTGGCCCTCTTTGAGGCCCTGGCTTTCTCTGTGAGCTACAACATAAACCCGGCAGTACATCACCAGTATGATGGTCAGAGGGAGGTAGAAGGAGCCTACGGCTGAGAAAATGGCGTATCCTGGCTCCTCTGTGATCTTGCAGACGGAGTCGTCCTCTGGTGCCGGTTCTTTCCAACCGAACAACGGCCCGATGGATATGATGATAGAGAACACCCACAAGAGCATCACTGCCAACAGAGCCCTGCGCTTTGTCATAATAGAAGGGTAACGCAGAGGATAACTAACTCCAATATAACGGTCCACAGAAATCACACAGAGGCTCATGATGGAGGCCGTGCAGCAGAGCACATCCACAGCTGCCCAAACGTTACAGAAAGCTCGTCCAAACACCCAGCGATCCAAAATCTCAAAAATGGCAGAAAAAGGCAGGACAGTGGAGCTCAGCATCAGGTCTGCCACGGCCAGATTAACAATGAAATAATGCGTGACCGTCCGCAGGTGTCGATGGCAAACCACAGATAGGATAACCAGGATGTTTCCGACCACTCCAAACAGGATGAACACACCAAGGACCATGCCTAAAACCACTGTCTTGACCATCTTGAGCTCTGGGATTAAAATCTGGCTGCAGTTGGTGCAGTTCTGGCTCAGAGAAGCTGGGGCCATGTTGTCCAGCACAGGACCCATCAACACCTAGATGGTGCTGATGCTGGACACAGTTCTGTAAAAACTTTAGCTTTCTAAAGAAAAAAGGGGCATCATTGAATTCCCGTGGAAGCTATTAGAGTAATGATCACATTAAGGCTTGTCAAAGCATAATTTAAATGATGTTGCTTCCAGCAAATGAGCCATTATCCCGCCAATGTACCAGGATGCTTCACGAAACACTAAGAGAGGAGAGCAAGATATGCAAATGAAAGCTACTGTGCTGAAATCAGGTAATCCATCTTGAAAATATTTGTGATGTTATTTTTGATACCATGCAGCTGGTGCCAAACACTGATTGAGAAGCATCACAGTGGTGTACCATGCATCCTCTCTTGAAATATAAAAATGTCACTTTGGAGCCAAATCTTGAGTCTTTTGTTTTAAAAGATGGAAGGAGAATCCACTTCTCTGGGCAGAGTGGGAGGTGAGCAGCACTCAACATACTGCCTCTTCCCATAAAGCACAGGGGCATATTGAGCTTCAACGCACTCTGACAGCCTCCAGCGCCTGTGACAAGAGAGACAGAGAGCATGTTACACGGGCATCACAAACAGCAAAACAAAGCACAGAAAAAAAAACAGCAAAACAAAGCACAGAAAAAAAACCACCTATGTTTTTGCCCATTGTTTCAGGTTCGTAGTTTCCTTTTTCTTTTCCATATAGCTATTGCTCAGCCCTACTGAGTCTGTGGGCGACAAACGGTGTCTACAGTTTGTGTGAGAGCTGCATGAGGAGAGATATATCTTGCAGATTTAGAAACAAAATATGAAGTAAAGGAATGCGGAAAGCTACACTGGCATTATTTGAATAAAACAACTATTAGACAGATTGTGCAAAGTTGAACCAAAACTTAAAGGCAGAAAAAAATCCAGCAGCTCAATTGACACTTAGATGTGTAACTGCAGCAAATACAGGATTGGCAGAATATTGACCTACGAGTGATGAATAGAAAAGAATCTCATAGTTCTCACTTTTTATTTATAGTATTAAAAAACTGCACTTCAACATTACACATTATTTTGTGTTGGATATCACATACAAGCTTGATCAAATACACTGAATTTAGTGGAGCTGAAATGATAACATGTAAAAATAAAGAAACATCAGGGGGTATGACTTTCGCTGCAAGGTAGTGGATGATCAAACTTCAAAGCTGCCTCTCTCTGTTAGTCACGCATTTCCAGTGAAAGTTGATATATAAGAGTTGCTGATAAAAAGTTATTTTCTTTAATGTGAATTTAAGGCCCTTTGGTAAATTCCATGCTCTTTTGCAAGCAGATCATCAGG